GCCAGTTGGAAGCAATCCAGGAACGAAGAAACCTAGAACTTAAGAAGATATTTCCTGACGTTTATCCATCTATGGAATCACTTGCCTCCAGAAGTTGTGGCTTGCTCCCTCACTGGAGGTTTTCAAGAAGAGATTGAACAACCATCTATCAGATAATGGTAGAGGAGAGATAGAGTCTCATTAAAATGGCATTTTGCACCAGTGTGTTTTGGCAAGGATGTTTAAAGAGATAAATCATCTAAATGTTGGAAGTGCCACCAAAATTCCTGGGTCATATGCGGTGGACCTCTTCAAAAGCAAAAAATATATATTGGACCAAAATACATACATGCTTGGGGGAAAAAAATGATAAAACAACATATTGATTTAGAACCAGAGATCTTTCTTTGGGGAAATCCTTCCCGAAGAATATAGTAAGGGAAATGCATATTTAGTTATTCATGTGTTGACTGCTGCCAGAATGGTATTTGCACAAAATTGGAAGGGCGAAGAGATACCTACAGAGGAGAGTGTGATTAGGAAAACACTAGATAGAACGTGCGGAAATGAATAGATTAACATTGGCAATTAAGGAGAAAGAGCAAAGTGAATATTATATGGTATGGGATTTATTCTGTCAGTGGTTAAATAGTAACAGTGGAAGTTAGAAACAGGGGAACAAAATAAAGATGATGTGTTAAAAGAGCTAAGCTAATACGATGATTAATATGTTGAATTCTACTACGTTAATATTGTATAATCAATTAGTATAATTAATAGGTGGATAATTGCTTTGTTGCATATTGCAGAATTAATGTGTAATGAAGGATGTTGTAATTTTGATTATTGTTTAGCAAAGATGTTTGTACCCAGACAACACACTGTTTGATTGAAGAGGGAATGATTGTATTAAAAACGAAACATTTATTTAAAAAGAGGAAGAAATGGTATAGGGTCTCCTGTCTGAGCAGGGGGGTTGTACTAGAAGACCTCCCAAGGTGCCTCCCAACTCTGTTATTCTGAAGTTGCAGAACGGAGAACCTTGCTTGGGCCTGCAGGTCTTCAGCTTTCTGGCTTTCTGTGATAGGAAGATCTGCGGTGTTCATTCTACAATGAAAGAGAAGAAGTAGCATCAATTGAGGTTCTTCTAACTAGGTGTGAACTCTGCACGCTGACTTGGGTTGATTGTTGTGTTGCCCTGTATGGCCACTGAGAACAGCTTCCCATGAGAAATTAGAGCTGGAAGCTCATCACAGAGGCCTGTTCTGACCCAGGCTTCACAAAACCACAAACCCCTTTTTAATAGGCTAATGTGAATTCCTCTCATCACATCCAGCAAAGTCCCCGCAAACAGTCTTTCAAGGGTGAATTCCAACCACAGATTTTATCGGGCTTCAAGAGTTGCCAGGCCAATAGCTTCCAAGCGCTATGGTGTACCAGAAAACACTTGGCAAGGAGTCTCTGAGAGTCACAAACAAATCTTCACACTAATTAAACAAACTAATTGTCTCCATTCCCCTTTCACTCCTCTTTATTTCCTATGGGAGGGGCCATTCAATGTCCACCTGTGCCTTTACTCTCGAGTCAACCCTTGTTCCTTAGCTGTTCCCTTCTCCTGGCAGGTCTGTGCATACGCACACTGGGAACAGGCTCCAGCTGTTCTTCTTCCCCACTGATCTCTGACTCCGAAGGCAGCGGATAACTGTCGGAGGGCCCTGGCCCCATCTCTGCCTTTGACGCAGAGCCCTCGTCTGAGCCTTCCCCAGGCTCCAGGACTGGCCCAGGTTCCTCTCCAACCTCACTGTCTGAGTCTGCCGCTAGCTCCGTTGGCCACTGGCAGGCCACACCTTCTGAGTGGACTGGTTTCAATGGCCTACGAGGTTCTTTTGGCACAAATATGTTGATTTTGCTGCATCCTGGGCAGTTAGAAGTGATCCGATTAGATGAAACCCATGCTGAGCAGATTGACACATGATTCGGACTTCTGTGGTGACCCCTGGGATGTAAGAATAGAACAGAATAACAGAGTTGAAAGGGACCTTGGAGATCTCCTAGTCCAACCCCTGCTTAGATGTCTCAAGTTTTGGACTAGAAGAAGGAAAAACACATTCAAAAGGAAAGATGGAAGCAACCAAATCACTTCCATTTAAGTGTTCCATCAAAAACACCAGGTGGACCTCTTCCTCAATTGAATTCTTTCTTGGCCAAATGTGGTTGGACACACAAGGAATTTGTCTTGGTGTAAATGCTTCCAGTGCACATAAAAGAAAAGATACATTTGTCAGCAGTCAAGAATCCTCGGTACAACACTTAATGATAGTCATAGGATACAATAAGCAGCCAAATTATACTAGGAAACAGTCCATATAAATCGTTACGATACAAGCGACAAAGTTACAGTCGTGCAGTCACAAGTGGGAAGGGATGGGTGATAAGGAGTGATGAGAAGATTAACAGTAATAGTAGTGCAGACTTTGTAAATAGTTGGACAGTGTTGAGGGAATTATTTGTTTAGCAGAGTGATGGCGTTCGGGGAAAAAACTGTCCTTGTGTCTAGTTGTTCCGGTGTGCAGTGCCCTATAGTGTCATTTTGAGGGTAGGAGTTGAAACCATTTATGTCCAGGGTGTGAGGGGTCTGTAGATATTTTCACAGCCCTCTTTTTGACTCGTGCAGGATACAGGTCCTCGATTGAAGGCAGGTTGGTGGTAATTCTTTTTTCTGCAGTCCTAATTCCTCTCTGGAGTCTGTGTCTGTCCTGTTGGGTTGCAGAGCCAAACCAAACAGTCATCGAGGTGCAGATGACAGACTCAATCATTCCTCTGTAGAACTGGATCAGCTATAAAGATAGCAAGGAGGAGAAATTGACTTGAAGAAGACTCCTGTCTTTTTAAGAGACATACTTTTGTATCCGACGTAGTCTATAAGCTCGGTGACACCTCTCAAAACTTCAAGAAAGCTTCAATTCTGCCAGAATCCTCAGTAGCTTTATTTTAAAAGGGTATTAAAAAGACACAATCTTTTTTTTGTGATGTGCTTCGTGTCCGAAACCAGCTCTAAAATAGCTGAAATAGGAAAACGTTGAACGTTTAAAATGCTCTGGAAACTCGGTGTCCGGAGTGCAGAATACATCTTTTCCTGTGCAAAATACATCTTTTCCCCGTTAATAATTGAAATTGTGATCAAATTCCGGGGAGTTTGAGATCCCATTGTCACAAAAGGCCCCGTAATAGATTTGTTTTGCTGGATTCCACGCACTTTGCAAGCGGTAGTAAGCTGTCTAAAACTGCTTCTTGTTTTCCTAAAGAGCAATTATGAACTCTGCAAGGGCCAGTTTTGTTAGGAAACTGCGTTCCTTTCTCCCTTTTTCTTTTTCTTAACTATTTTGTGAAAAACCAGCTCCTTTAAAGTGGCCGGTCTCCCCACCCCCCACCCTGCCTCCAGAACCCCCCACCCCACCTCCACCCGCTGACCTGAGGGGGAGCATTTGACTTTGCAAGGATGAAGGATCGGGGCAGCCCTGATCGAATGGTTTGGGTGGTGGGGTTGCCAGACCGTCAATATGTTTTCAGCTCCATTAAATGGACGATTAGATTGATGTGGCTTGTTTGTTAAATAATGGAGGGAGATTTAAAAATAAATGAAGCATGTAGCATCCTTTCTACGAGCACATAATTTATTATTACTGGTCTGGAAAGGGCTCTCTGTTATGGAGATCAATGAGTAATTCTAGCAAGCGTGCTAAGGTTGGTTTTGGAAAGAAAGGGAGGATGGAAAGGAGGGAGAAGAGGGAGGGAAGGAAGGAAGGAAGGAAGGGGAAGGGATGAGGAAGGAAGGGAAGCGGGGGAGGGAGGGAAGAGAAAAGGCAAGGAAAGGGAGGGAGGAAACTTAACAGAGGGAAGGAAGGAAAGAGAAAGGGAAGGACGGAAGAAATGGAGGGAGGGGAAAGAAGGGGATGGATAGAAGGGAGGGAAGAGAAAGAGATGAGATGAGGGAAGGAGGAAAGAAGGAAGGAAAGTAAGGAAAAGGAGATGGAAGGAAGGAAGGCAAAGGGGAAGGAAGGCAAAGGGGATGACAGGAAGGAAGGAAGGAAAGAAAGAAGGAAGAACAGAGAGGAAGATATGTAGAAAAGTTTCTACACACTTTCCTTCTAAGGATCCAACTTTGCACAAAATAAAGTGCTTCCTGAGAACACTTTATCTAAAGCTTCAGCTCCTGCAATCTTCTATTTTATTTGTCAAGCATGCGTTTAATATAAGTATAAACATGATTATTAATACGTGAAACCTGTTTAAAGAAAAGTCTTCTTTTTAAAGTGTGGAAGGACCTATCAGCAACGTCTGTTGATCAAACTTCAATTCCACAAACCTCCCTGAAGGGCAATTTCCTTATTTATCCCCTGTTCTGGGCATCTCTGTCTCTTCTCTCTCTCTCTCCTTTCTCTCTCTTTCTTCTCTTTTCTTTTTGCATGGGGAAATTCCTTCCATGCCCAGGTGGCAAGAGGACCAGGCTAGTGAGAGCATCTTTCTGGTTCCTAGGATACGAGGGGGGAGGAGGAGGAGGAGGAGGAGGAGGAGGAGGAGGAGGAGGCCAAAGATCTCACTCGCTGGTCCTGGTGGCGTTACTGGTTGCCATATGGTGGGGTCGGAGAGCCTCCCCGGAGACGAGTTAGCGCTCGGCCAGCCCCATTGCTCCCCCGCACCCTCCCAGGGCTGCCGCAGGGTTCCCCCCACAGCCCCCCCCCGCTGCTTACCCATGTGTGAATCTTGATTAATTTTTCATTTTTAATGAAGTTTGCTCATGTTTGTTCTTTCACATGATTGACTGGCGGCCTCTTCTCCTTCCGTGTAATTGATAAAAGCATATTTCTCTTCATCTGTCTCCGAGTTCTGCGGCGCAGAGTTTGCAAGATTGCTGTGTTTCTGCGTGATTAACATGAGATTTATTGGTCCCTTTAGAGGATTAAATTATCTCTGTTCTCCTCTCTCTCTCCCCACCCTCCTCCTTTCTCTTCTCTCTGCAGGAAATTCTGCCCACGGTGGCCAAGTTCTGTTTCCCTTTCTACGTGGACAGGTAAGGTTGCATTCCTAAAGACATTGTCAAAAAGGGGAAAGAAATACAATGTAAATAAAATTGTGCTGGATAATAAAGATCAGGTCATTCTTAAGGCTCTTCCTAAACCTGGTTTAAAAGGTTCTCTAGTGGAGCGTTAAGAATTTTTTAAAATTGTATTATGAATGATCTACAGCCAAATCAATTTCCTTTTTTTCCCTCCCTTCCTGTGACATTGTCTTAGAAATTATTTACATTCTGCTTTAACGTTGTGTTAGTTTTTACAACTCTGGGGTTTTTTGTTTTTGCTTTTTGTGGGTGATTCTGCAAAGCAGGTGATTTGCCATGAACTTAGAGTTTGGAATTTGCTCCTTGCAAATCTTATTGCCCAAATGGTCGGTGAATTCTAGTCCATATAACCTCCCTTTCCTCTCTGTCCTTCTCATTGTCAAACTTTTTTTTTTTGCTTCTCTTCCTGATTGTGTGACACTGATGTCTTGCTGCAATGTCTTGTGTCAGAATTGGGTGGGTGGGTGGCTGCAAGGATTGAGGTTAAGTGTCACTATGGGGCAGGTAGAGTCAATAAGAGGGAGACAAGGAGGAATAAATAAATGTTTCCACTGAAGTGTTTTAATTTCTGTGGGAGAGGAGAGGAGAGAATATAGAATGGAGAATAGAATAGAATAGAATAGAATAGAATAAGGAATAGAATGATATAGAAGAGAAGAGAATAAGAGATAGGATAAGATAGGATAGGGTAGGGTAGGGTAGGGTAGAATAGAATAGAATAGAATAGAACAGAACAGAACAGAACAGAACAGAACAGAACAGAATAAGGGATAGAATAGAATAAGGAATAGAATAATATAGA